CTTTTAGAAGACAAAACGCGTTACAGATAACTTTCCAATTTGTTATTCAATTAGCTCAAGGAACGAAGCGCGTTGGTATAAAACATTTTCATATTTTCATTTTGTCTTATATTTTATGTATATCTGAATTTTAACAATTAAAATTAATTTATAAATTTATATATATATATATATATATATATCGATATATATATATATATATATATATATGTGTGTGTGTTTTTGTAAACATCCATTGTGTGTGTGGATGATATATATATATATATATATATATATATATATTAAACTATATATTTTTCCAGATGATGAATGTTTTCATTAAGACATGTCTCATTGAATAATTTAGAGAAGTTTAGTCTTCTTATTTTCAATAAGATCCTCTCATATTCTCAGACAAGATTCTTAGTATCCTTATTAAATGTAGAGTAAAAATTACTATGTTGATACATATTTCTTTATTCTGAGTACTTTCGACATTAGCACATATGGGTATTTCAAAACTCCCCTGACGTTTACATCGTGAAATTTAAATGGTAAAGTACATCAGCTTGGCGTTTTTTACTTCACAGATTAACTTTCAGATGAACACAACAATTTTGTCTTTAAAAAAACAACAACACCCTAATGAAGTTATTGTGCAAATATCGAAAATACTTGGAATAAATAAAAGTGTATCAATATTATAATTTTCATTATTAATATTAAGAAGCTTGTCCGTGAATATGACAGGAGATCTATATATATATATATATTCTCTTCTTGACTCTTAACCATCAAGGATGGTGGTGGCGTGGTGGAGATGCATAGTGGCTTGCTCAACAAGATGCTTCGAGTTGATCCAGTCATAAGCCAAGTTCCTGGACGGTCTATTCTACGACGTTGTCCGACCATCTGTTTGTTTGGCATCTCTTCCTCCTTCCACTTTATACCGTTCATTTTAGGATGGTCTTGGAGTGGCCTAGCGATCTGCTCGCATTGTAATGATCTTCCTTTTCTTTACTGTGGTGAAAACGAATTTTCGCCATCATTTATCTGGTGATTCACTCTTCATTGTGCCTATTAATTCGTGATGTGGTCGGGGTCTAGAAAACCCTAAGAAGATGTCCGTATTTGCTCATCTCGGCAGCTTGGAACGCTGGCAAGAAGTGAAAATAGACTGACTAGTGAGATGTGTGGACAAAACCGTATCCGGATATAGCATCGAAATTAACGCCGAGAAAACAACATTGTTAAGAAATATTAAAGAACTCAAAGAGATAAATAAATGCGAAGGGCTACAAAGGATCGGAAGTTGTGGGGGACTATGATCGCCTATATATATATATATATATATATATATATATATCATCTAAGAAGAAACAGAATCTAGATATGAGATGGAAATTTCTCATTTTCAGAAAATTACGTTAATGAGGTAATTTCTAATAGTTCGGGGTCCCATTAGGGCACTAATTAAAAAAAGTGGCCCAATTATCATTTATCAAGATGAATCCATCTATAGAAGTCAATTTTTTTAAATTGAAAACAGCCGCGATGGCACGGTTGAAAGCATTTTGGATATGTAAATGCGAAAATAAACTATATTGTAATATATATATATATATATATATATATATATATATATATATATATATATATATTTAGGCATAATCCTTTGTTTATGCATGTTTCATTAAAAACGACAGACAAGGTACTACGGTTAAGCTTTTTATTTAATTTTTCTTGTGTTCTGAAAAAGAGCTTTCTTTTCTGGACAAAGGGTGTGTAAAACTGTCCAAATGTTTTATATTTCCGAGCGCTTTCGGCTATACCTTTTAGCCATTATCAAGGATGATTCGATTTTTTCAGCTTAATTGAGTGTGTGCGTTCTGTGTATGTCTTAGTGTGTGGTAGGGATGTTTTTAATTTCCGAATACGGTTAGCACATTGTGGCTTTGTTCATAGTTAATATTGTTAAGAGTTGGCTTTTTTTTTTTATTATTAAAGCTTCCATTATTTTTAGTCTTTTTTTTTGCAAGTGGATGCAGTTAATATATTTGTGTTTTCTACTAGTATGTTTCTAATGGAGTCTGGTAAATCTGAGTGTGTGTTTTAAATGGGTTCTAATGGAGCTGTGATCAGATAGGTGTAACGTAAGACGTCTGGATAAGCATGTGGTTGTGTAACCGATGTAATTATTTATGAGTCCGGTTTATATATATATATATATATATATATATTTGAACTAATAGATAATGTTCGTTCTTTGTAATTTTGACTTATTGATATTTTTATTTTTACAAAATAAGTGTTCAATGTCTTAAATTTTTATATAATAGCTAAATATTATAAATTTTACTGATTTAAAATGTGTTTTTTTCGCTTTACAATAATAACCACGTTTCAAACACTAAAGAAAAAAAATCAAATTTAATTATATAATTAGATTAAAAGCATTATAAAGTTCCGTTTTCATCTGCAAGCGAATTTTGAATAAAATTATTTTTAAATTTACTGAGTTTTAAACGCACATAAAATTTATAATTTCCTGTTTCCAAGGATACAAAAATCCAATCATTCAAACAAGGGCGGTAGCGTGTTTATTTTTATTAACTAATGTTGTATCATATTATGAGTTACGTTCGAAAAAAAAAAAGGTTTAGTTTATAAAAGTATACCATATTTAATTTTTTCAACGAAAATTTCTTGTATCCGTTAAACGCATGTCGTCTGTTTTTTTATATATAATTTATTTATAAATATTATAGAATATGTAAAAATATATACACAAATATATTTTCTTTTTATTGTTTCATATAAGAAACCTGATGAGAAGTATTCATACGCATCGAAACACAATTGCATTCATATATCGTTTTTTACATGCTTTTGATGTAATATCCTGAAATAAAGAATATTGGTCTACTTTTGTATTGAGCCCTCTTTTTTTTTTTGATACTTCGACGTCGGACTCTATTCGTTTCATTTTACATCTGATATATATATATATATATATATATATATATATATATATATATATATATATATATGCCAAACACACAATTTTGACACTGACCTGTATATTTAAACAGCTTAAAAAACAACACTTGTGATTTTTTACGATTGCGTTTAGCATGAAAATGCCCTACTGTTGACTCCAATGTTCATTTTTATATTTACATATAAATTTCTGATATTGAGCAAAATTTATCCCATAAATATAGAACACTTTAAGAGCATATTTCATAAATTATATATATATATATATATATATATATATATATATATATATATATATATATATATATATATATTGAGATCCAACAGTCGAATTCGACGGATGATGGTTGAGCAAATCGATTTCCTAGAAAACCGACAGCAGCACATGACATTTGATTATAATTTTGAAGGTTTCTGCAGGACCATCCACACTTTTTGAACAAAGATTTTAAAAAAAAAATTTTAAAAAAAACTACTATTAAAACATAAAATGTAATATTAATTGAACTATATAAAAGTTTTTGACATATTAACTGAAAACACTAGTAAAAATAGAATACGTTGATTTACCACACCACAAGAAAAGTTCAAATAAAATTCTCACTTAAAATTTATGAAAACCTTAGCGTTGCGTCATTGCATGTTCCGATATTGTATTACAACCGTTGATAATAAAAAATTCACAAAAAAAAATCTTTCGGTCGACAAACAATTATTTTGTCTATAAGTTTTAATTTTAAAAGGAAAAAAAATATGCCTGAGGATGAATAAAGGATTATTCATCATACTTTCATTTTTAAAAAATATAAACTGGAAATAACAGACAACAGTTTTATAAATGAGGATCCCGATCAAACATGGATTTACATTATTTTAATGCATACATTTTATACTACTAGCGATGGATGTCGCAAATAATTTATTAATATTACTGATTTATTCTATATGTGAATTTTTTGTTTAAATATATATATATATATATATATATATATATATATATATATATATATATATATATAATTACAGCATTTCAATATTTAAAATTGCTTTGGCATGAAACACTGAGTTGTGTAATTAATGTAAGACATTATGTATATTTCATAATATATGTATATATTAAATAGCTCTGTTATTTAACATTACAGTATAGTATATTTACATGTATTTGTATATGACTATATATACCTATCTATATTACCCATTCTGTTTTAAATATATATATATGTATTCATGTATGTATATAAAAGTAAGGAATTGAACGTACAGAACAATAAAAATGATTTAAATAAAGACGACATTATTATATATACGTTTATATACCTTGAAAGGTTCACTTTCAATCAACACCTTTTCAAAAGTTGAACGTTATCGCAATTAAACAAAAATTTTTAAAATATTTACAATTTAAATAACGAATCATGGAGGAGAAATTGAACACGATTAAATTTTTTTGAGAAATAATTTCTCCTTTATTATTTTAATTTAAATGGTTTGAAAAAAAACAAAAACAAATATTAAAAGGTCCCAAAAGAGCATAAAAAAGAAAAAAAAAAACATAACAATATATATATATATATATATATATATATATATTTTTTTTATATATATATATATATATATATATATATATAAATAAGTTATTTATAAATATATATATATATATATATATTATTGTACTAGACATTCCTTACCTTTATTCAATTTACAAATTTCCAGGCCTATATAAGTTTTAAGGAATATATAAACTCTATAGAAATTTTACAGAGAGTCTTTTAAGACTACCAGTGTTGATACTATTCTTATAGTTTTATAAATATACAAATATTTCTGTAACCTGTTGTTAATATATCTCTTCATTTTTATCCGTGTTCCGTGTTTTTTTCTTGGTGGTCCCAACTTTGAAAGATCTAAGAAAGACGACGACAATAGAAGAAAAAGTAGAAAATGAATCAAGAGAAAATAAAAAAAGAATTCAAGATATAAACAAGAAATGATAGAAAACATCCGCGTGAAAAGAATGA